CCCACCTGATTAGGGCAGGCCCACCAAGATAATTTCTCTATTTTAAAGTCAGTTGATTTGGGACCTTAATCACATCTGCAAAATCCCTTCACAGCAGCAGAACCTACATGAGTGTTCTGTGGAATAATGGGAAGAGGTGTGTGTACACCAGGAGACAGGGCCATCTTGGGGGCCACCTTAGAATTTTGTTTATCAAAACATAGCTAAGAAATCCCGGGCCCAATCTAACTTTTGTATGGCTGGATCCAAGGGACCTCACTGTCGTTAGGACTTAGACCTTCTGTCTTTCAACTTTGCTCTCTGCTATGAAGCTTTATTCCTAGATGGGCTTTCTTTAAGAAGTGGTTAACAGCTCTTAGTAGCATCATGCTTCCATGGTCTCACCAGGCGAGGGTATTTCATTCCTCTTAGTTCCAGCCAGTCTGAGAAAAGCCTTTGATTTACTTGCCTTGGGTATGTGCCTATCCCTAAAACCAGTCACTGTGGCTGGAGGGATATTGTGTTATGATTGCCCAGACCTGGGACTTATGCCCATCTTTAGAGCCAAGACATGAGGTCATCCCAGCCCAAATAGCAAAGTGAATGGGAGAGAGGTCATTCCAAAAAGATGGTGTTCAGGCAAAAATGCTCATCTGCTAAACCAAAGAAAAAGAAAATTGAACTGTTTTGTATTGTATTGTTGAACTGTATCAAACATTATAAAAGAAATCAGTTAGGATGAGGACTCAGAAAAGGTCACTGCATTTAGAAGGCAGGAAGCCATTCCTGACCTTTGAAAGAGGATGATGAAGTTTACTTAAAAAAAGAAATTGTGGAAATCAAGCTCCAAGGTTTTAAGATGTAGGTGGTGAAATACCAACATTGAATTTATACTGTACTTTAACCTGTTGGTAAATAAAAGAGATGTGACAGCCATTTGGGACCCTATCAAGGTATGGGAAGAGTCTCTTAGAAATAGCAGTGATTGAGTATGCTGGTAGGGTGGGAAGTTTCCGAGGGAGAGGAAAAAGATTGAAGGAGAGATGGGGGGCAGAAATGACCCAACAGTACCTGGAGAGCCAGTAGGAGGAGAATGGATTAAGAGCTCAAGTGGAGTGGCCACGAAACGTTTTCCCAGATTATATAGCATGGGAGGTTTTTTGTCTTTTTTGGTCATTTGCCATGTCTTTGGAATAAACAGGTGTCATTCCTTCTAGTGTAGCCCCTTATGGTGCAAAAGATCCCCAGCCTCTGTCCAGCTCTGTAATTGGTGGAAAGATTCACCCTTAGAGTGGTGGTTCTCAAAGTGTGGTCTCCAGACCCGCAGCAGGAGCATCACCTTGGAATTTGTTAGAAATACAAGTTGTCTGGCCCCACCCAAGTCCTACTGAATCAGAAATTCTGGGGATGGGTCCCAGCAATCAGTGGTTATCAAGAGCTGCCAGCCATTTCTGATGCTGGTTCGAGTTTCAGTACCACTGCCTCCCCTCCACAGACCACGGAGGTTTCCTTAATAGTGGCTTTTAAAAAGCTGCAGGAACCAAGGATAGAGGCTTCTGGTGACAAGGAGGTGGGAGGGAGTTTGTAAATCTTGAAAGGAGATGGCAGCTGTTCAAAATGTAATGGATTGGAAGAACAAAAAAGAGAAGGCTAAGTTGTAATTTAATTGTTTTCGAGTTTGTGGAGGGCTTCCATCTGGACGATAGGAACCACAGGAGCTCCAAGTCCCCGGAGGACAGAGAAAGGCGAAAGGGGCTGAAATTATAGCTGTAGAGTAGTGATTCCTTTGGAGAGTAAGGGTTAAGTCCTAGAACAGGTTTTGGATATGGATCATTTAATTTAAATGCAGGCTCTTCCCCTAGATGCTATTAGGAGGTTGCAAAAGAAGAGCATGGCAAGGTTTCTTTCATCAAGGAGCTTATAAACTTTTTGAGGCTTCAAGACTTAAATAAATCCAGTGGAGTATAAAAAGGCAGTATAACAAAGTGCTGAATTGAAAAGGACCTTGGGTCAGAATGTGTGGTCGAGATCGTAAGTGCTGTGGGCAGTCAGGGGAAGGAGAAATTGGCATTGTGTCATTTTCTTCTCTGGACAGAGTATGAAACTGTCAGCCTGGCATAATTTCCCAGGTCTGACGGCAAGATACTGGATAGCTTGGCTTCAAGAAGTGCTTTTTCTTGTTCTCGTTGTGTGTTTACTAAGGTTTGTCAAAACTGCTAGGTCAAAATGAAGGTTTGTATTCTGAGACTTTGAATTTGGAGTATTATTAATACTTTCGTGAAGCTTGTAGAAGAAATTACATTTTATCCTGGGCATCTTAAATGAAAGAGACTCAGATAAAAGTTTGGCATACTCGTTTCAGACAGACTTTCAAACTTACTGCATTCACAGGGAGAACATGAATGAGCCTGTTTGAAGATGCTTTAGTGTTGTAGGATGAAGAAAGCAAATTACTGATTTTCCTTAGTGGAAGAATTAAGTTGAGCCAGATTTGGGATGATGGGGAAGAAGACAACACTTCAGATGAACACGACATTTCCATTACTTTTTATTTCTTTGCATCTTGCTATTCATATGGATAAGTAAACAGATCACTAGAACAAGAACCAAGAGAGAAGGATGACAAGGCACCGTTAAAGGTGAGCATAAAGCTGTTTAGGTCCAGGGGAAAAATAATAAAAATTCCCTAATAGTCAAGGGGAAGCCAGAAATTTGGAACCTAAATCAAAGTACTAAGAAGATTTTTTTCAGAAGTCTACGTCTCATGTGATCTGTTTTTAGTCCTTTTTGGGGAGGGTTTTCTTAACTCCAGCGTGGCATGCAGGTATCAACAGAGAGCTTCCTTTCATTTCACTGTGATGATGGGGTGAGTTGGGGTGTGTTATGGACCAGGGTCTGTCTTTCCTGTCCCTTCAAGAATAACACCTGCACCAAATGGTGTTCCTTTTGCAGAATTACTAGCGTTTGTTGCTCTAATGGCCCAGCAGCTGGAGGAAGAATCATCTCTTATTTCAGGGTCTTGAGAACAGTCGTGTTACTCATTTCTTGATCCAGTTGAAATGACCAAGAAAAAAAATGGAATGACATAAATTAGTGCTACATCTTTAGATCAGTTCAAATAATGCACAGGCTGTTTCTTCTACTTGGAACCTCAATGCGTGACTAACTTCTGCTCATCTTTGACTTCCCTGCTTTACTGTTGGCTTTGCAAGAAAAGCCTTCCCAAGACCCTCTTTCTCAATGAGATACTCCCATGATGACTGCAAATCTCAATGTTTGGCTTTCCTTCATAATGCCTGTCTGGTTTTCGAATTTTGTACCTCTACTAAAAATCATATATTATAATTCTTTAATGTCTGTCCTTCTTGAGACAGTGACCTCGAGGGCAGGGTACTCTCTGTTTTGTTCATACATGTTCCCAGTTGAACATGCAGACTGATGTATGTAGTAAGTACCAAGGAAAAATTTGTCGAGTGAATGAGTTAATTAATGAGAAAGCACTTGGTAAACTGTATTCACTATAAAAGGGATGGTTAATTATATGAGTAGCAGACACCTCCTTTCTCCCTTCTGTCCTAATTTTGTCTCTCCACTTTTTTTAGTTCTTTATTTTGAGGTATACTTGTCAGTGTTTTACCAATTCCAAACCTACGATTTGTTATTATTCATTCTTGCCTTTTTTCTTTGAGATAAGGGACCTCTTTTTTCCCTCAGAAATATTATTTATTATACCTGCAGTGCTAATATTGCAACTCCCACGTAGGTTCCGTGCACGCTCATGATTTTGAAAGGAAAAACATGACTGGCCCTTGTGGATGATTTATTTGAGAAACAGACAGGATTCCAACAGAGCACTTAAACTCCGTGTTTTTCGTCATCCCCAATTTCACTAACATAAGTTCCTTTACCTCAAGTTATGCTTCTCAAGAGCACACAAGTCAAAGTAACTTAATCACATTGGTCTGGAAGAAGCTGTTCCTGGGTCTGCCTTAAAGAAGAGAAAAAGTCAAGAAACCCAGATGTGGAAAATTTAATGATTAGGATATGATCAAGTCTTTTCATTAAAAGCAACCAAAAAAAAAAAAATAACAAACCTTATCCAATCCTTTTCTAACAGGGCTTTGGTGCGCCACTTCTGTGGGCGTAAGTGTTATCCTCGGTGGGCGGCAATGGCAGACAGCCAAGTGGAAAATCTCACAGCCCCGCAAACGTTCAGTGCACAGAACACTGTAAACCAGCAAGCTGAGGGGGCCGTGCACCATTAACCGCGCTCCCGCATACGCCTCTCGTGCCTCCCGTACGCTCTCTCTTTCGCTTAGCTTCCTGCTTGATACCTTCACTTTCCTCCTCCCAGAGATCGCAGCCGTCTCCATCTCCGTTCCGCTTCTCCCCCATCCCAGCACAGTGGGGCATGGAGACGTTTGGATGTGTGGGTGCTCCAGCCATAGCTGGTGGGTGCTCCAGGGTAGTTGGTTCATGGTGCCCGGCCAATGCTGGCATTTATGTTCTGGCTCCAGAGCTCAGAACGGGCTCTGACCACTAATGATACTTCGCATTTACACAGTGACTTTATTCTTGGGAACTGTGAGTGCTCTGCAAGAATGAGCTTATTGATCCTCCCAACAACCAGTGAGGTCTGAGAATGGCAAAAGATGATAGTCCTCGCTCCCTTTGGCAGAGAGTAAAATCAAGTCGCTCGTTTTAAGGCTGTACTGCAAGTTTGCATCTCAGCTGAGATTGTATCCAAAGTCTCTCAGAATCGGCTTCAACTTTATGGGGGAAAATGAGGCTGGCTGTACCATGCCGTGTCCCCTGGGGCAAGAGCAAAACTACTGAATTCTTTTTTAAGAAATGGGTACTGCACAATGATCTTTGGTGAATTATCAATTAATCTGATTGATCATGAGCATTATCAATTAATCTAATTGATCGTGAGACTTCATTTGTTGAGATGACAAGTGACTGGATGACGCATTGACCTTTTTCTTTTTCTTCTGTTCCGTTCCCGTGCTAGGTATATCTCACTTCTCTGTGAAAGGAAGAAAGAACACGCCTGAGTCCACACGTCCTCCCGCTTCTATGGGAAGTCTCCATGGTGAAGTATAGGCTGAGGCTACCTGTGAACAGCGCGCAGTGAATGTTGTAAGTTAACCACCAAGCTCAACATCCGTGGTGGCTTGCCTTGTCAGGATTTGTGAATCGCTGGATGTAACTGAGCCAGGGTGATGAAGGATTATTAGAACGAGCTCTAGGTGATCATCCAATTAATTTCTTTTTTTAGGGGAAAAAGTTCTGTTTGTGTTTGCTGTGAACTTGCCTTTGTCTCAGCTTCTGTGGCGTGCTACTCGGTATCTACTTCTGGAATAAAATAGTGGAATACGGTGATTCTTTCGTTGTAGGAACACCCTTTCTACTGGGAGAGTCAAACAGTATCAAGTTTAGAGCAGCCACTTTAAACTGGGCTGTTGCAATTCTTTTAGGTTGGTGAGTGGGCAATAAAATTCTCCACGCGGAGAATTAGCAATCAGAATTTCCACTCAGCAATTATTCTTATTTAGGTGAAGTTTTTGATGAGAATGCCTTTTTTTCCCTCTCTCTGGCTTTTAAAATCTTGAGGCGCACAAATATAAGCAGTTGGTTTTGGTGTTTCTCTCATTCAAAATGAGCCGATTTTACTGGGTTAGGATTTTGAGATTAGGATAGTTGTTCCTGCCTGTCAGCTGATGGACACCTTGCCTGAGAAGTTTTACTATCAAATCACTGAAGAAATGACAGTGTGTCTTCAAGGAGCTCATCTGTTATGAAACAATGTGGGTGTGCCCAGCCCTGCCACTTTCTGGCAAGTTTACCTCATTGCTAGACTGTGTCACAAAAAAAGTTTAGAAGGGTTTGACGAGGAAAGAAAACAGCTAAGGAAACCCAGGATGGCCTATGAATACCCCTGAGAAAGAGAAGATGTTATCTTCAAATTTTAGACAATGAAGAGCCAACCTTTACTAGGTGGTTGTTGTGTGTGTGTATATGTATATGGATATTTTTGTAATATTTGTGTATATTCTTGTTTATATTTATATGTGTGCTTTTTTAGTTTTTAACTTCTTAATAATTCAGTCAGAAAACTTTCCCAGGCATTTATTACCTATTTTTTTCTAGTTGCCTAAAAGTTGGAAAGAGAAAGATGCAGGGATAAAAAGTATTAACATTGAAAAGAAAAATTTCCTGATTTTTAAAAAAATTTCATGGGTGTCTAAACATTTGTATT